CAGGTACGATCAAACAGAGCTACAAACATGTCCGCATCGGGTATGAACAGTGACCGATCACGAGGGCCTCATGCAGGTATGGGCAGGGGTTTCGGGGCTGGAAAGTCAAGCTGGAACTCCAACATCTGGGGCGACAACAACCTGGGCAGTGGATTCGATGGTGAGTTGATGGATCGAGCTCGCGGTATTTCTATTTTGTCATTGCACAGAACCATTGAACTGATGATATAACCTGAAGACCAGAATCTTGCGGAAGCTGCTTTCGAAGGAAAGTCGGGGTCAGGCTCCTTACTGCCTTCCTCTGAATCTGACGGATGGAATAGTCGGCCGAATCTGCCCTGGAACACAGTGAACACAACGTCGGCTTCCATATCCAGAGGCCAAAACAACGGCATGACTGCTTCACCCATTTCGACAAGGCCCAATGACAGGAGTGCACCCGCTCTGTCGGAGACCGCTGATTCCTCGTCATATTTCTCCATACCTAAATCTTCCGGAATCGGTTCGTCCGCTGGAGGAGGGAACCACAAAACTTACCTGAACGCTGGGACTGACGGGATCTCCCCTTCTGGAGACGGACTGTCATTCGGCAACTTTGGTGGGCTCCGGAGTGGCGACGGTAGACGACATCCCAACTCGTCTGCCTTTGGAGGAAGCCAAGTCGGAACGGGATTTCCTATGAAGCAAGGGTTTACCACTCTGGACACCAGTCGGCCCGATGAGGTAACTGGGTCTCTCACAATGTCTAGTTTGCCACAGACGTTGCCAGACACCATGTCGCAGCCGTTGGCTCGTAACGGTTTTGCGCATGCGTCCCACAACTCGGCATCGTTTACATCTCAGAGACCCACCCATGCCTCCCACCCGTCGTTTCATTCTGAGAGCCAGGGATTTGAGGGTCGCTTTGGAGGCTCCTCCATGGACCTGAGTGCTGGAATCAATAAGCTTCAGCTGAATGAAGGTGGCTTTTCGGGCCACCCAGCAAGCCGTCCGCCCTACCTGTCCCACTCGTCCTATGACGGGTCATTGCCACGCTTCAAATATCAGAGCGCTGCCGATGAATCCAGCTATGAAGCAGTCGGGGGGTACACGGGAGATGGTTTGCCCGAGTTGCCATTAGGACACCACGGCGGCCGATCCCGTCTTGGTGAAGGTTCACTTTCTCCCACGGATATCGCGCGGATGGAGAGCAACTTTTACTCGGCTCTTGAGGCCGGCGCGGTCCCTGGGACACATTATCGGAATGGGTCTGCCTCCCGACTGAGTGAAAACCAGGCGCTAGCCTTGGAGCGGAAGTTGCGTGCTATGCAGCACGATCAGGATCTTGCCCACGGTGCTGCAAATTCTCTGCAACGTATTCCATATAATGCTCCTGCGTATGATCTTGCGGGATATCAAGCGGCACGGCTCAACGCCCTGTCAGGATTCTATCCTGTCGCGCAGCTTGGTGGACTGGGCTCCGCCGGTATCATCCCCAGGGGCAATCGTGATCAAGACCCCGCCCAAGTGGTGCGGAGCCCACTTCTGGAGGAATTTCGAGCTAATAGCAAGGGAAATAAGCGATACGAGCTCAAGGTATGTATTTCCGTTTTCCCCTACTATTCCCCGGCTCCAAAAATAAATATTAATAATCCCTGCAGGACATTTACAATCACATTGTTGAGTTCAGTGGTGATCAGCATGGTTCAAGGTTCATTCAACAGAAGCTGGAGACAGCGAATAGCGACGAGAAAGAGCAGGTTTTCCGCGAAATCCAGCCCAACTGCCTGCAGTTGATGACAGACGTGTTTGGCAACTATGTTGTCCAAAAGCTCTTCGAACATGGCAACCAATCCCAGAAAAAGATCCTTGCCAATCAAATGAAGGGCCATGTCCTTGCCCTGTCCACCCAGATGTATGGGTGTCGCGTTGTCCAAAAGGTAAGGCCACTTCTCTTCAAAGGGTGGATTTTATCGTGCATAGGGCTAATGGTTTATTAGGCGTTGGAACATATCCTTACCGACCAGCAGGCATCCATGGTCAAAGAGCTCGAGAACCATGTGCTCAAGTGTGTCCGTGACCAGAATGGTAACCATGTCATTCAGAAGGCCATTGAAAGAGTTCCATCTCAATACGTGCAATTCATCATCAACGCCTTCAAGGGACAAGTGAGCAGACTGGCCGCGCACCCATATGGATGCCGGGTCATTCAGCGCATGCTTGAGCACTGTGAAGAAGAAGACCGCGAATCCATCTTGGCTGAGCTTCATGCTTGCACTGCTCATCTTATCCCAGATCAGTTCGGAAACTATGTCATTCAACACGTGATCGAAAATGGCGAGGAGAAGGATCGATCCCGTATGATCAACGTTGTACTGTCACAATTGCTCATGTATTCGAAGCACAAATTTGCAAGCAATGTCGTTGAAAAGAGCATCGAATTCGGTGAAGAGTCGCAGCGTCGGCAGCTCATCAGCACATTGACCTCCGCGAACGAGAGAGGCGAGAGCCCTCTCTTGGGCCTGATGCGTGATCAATACGGAAACTACGTGATTCGTGAGTACTTTTCGGGGTTCTCGTTTCGATGCATGAAATCGCTAACCCCTTGCTTTAGAAAAGGTGCTTGGTCAGCTGAAGGGCGAGGAAAGAGAGGCTCTCATCGACCAAATCCGGCCTTTGCTCAGCCAGCTTAAGAAATTCAGCTATGGAAAGCAGATCGTTGCGATCGAAAAGCTCATTTTCGATTCTGCGACGCTTGGTGCTAGTTCCCTGCCTCAAGCTTCGTCCACCACCCCTCCTCACTCTCACAAGTCCTCCCCTCAGCCAAGCAAGCGCCTGGTCAACGATCTAGAGGACAGCCAAGCTCCTGTTGTCGGCGCGGCTCCGCCTACCCCTCCTCCTACTGAAAACCAGGGTCATACACACGGTCCTGCTGAGTCGAAGAACCTTGCAAAAAGCACGGCGACTCCTTTGTCGGTATCTGAATCTGCCTCTGCCGCCCCCAATGGCTCTGTGCCAGTGTCCGGATCCACATAAAGTTACTTCAGACCTCAGACTCTACTCTTTGTTTAATTTTCTTCCTTTTCTTCGTGCGAATATTTGCTCCTTTTATGTCCTTAAATGAGTCGAAACCCCAACACTATTTTTAATATGGGCGTATACATACAGGGAACTCTCTGAGGGATATATGAGTTTCCGGCTTTCTTTCTTCCATATTTCTCCCCAGCCATTATTCTTCATGGCATGACGGCGTCAAAATTTCAAGGGTCACGGTGGGAGCTTCGCTGGTCCATGTTCGACCTTCCTACATTCTTAATCGTTTGTCTTCGTCTTGTGTTTGAAATTGTGATGTGATGAAAATGAGGATACGTCTCGAGAAGTTTGTGAATGGTTCTTCTTTCTTTGTCCAAATAGGAGGGTTCGGCGTCTTCAACGGTGAGCTAGGGATACTGGAATATCGCGCTTTGACTGACCTGGTGAAACTCGATACGGGATCATGGGCATATGCAGGAATCTGGAAATAGGTAGATTACATGAGACTTGCCTGGCGCATGAGGTGACTTTTCTATCTCGCTATACAGTCTGTTCAAATGAAAAGCGGTTTGCTTGCAAAGCTGTTACGATCAATCCACATATTCTTACTGTAGAGGAGGCATATTGGAAGTGGGTTCGTTCCATAATAGAAAAGACACGGGCGTCAGAACGCATCCACTGCGACACATATGTCCGTGTAGCTGACTTGATTGACACAATAACTATAGTTTCTCAGTCAATAAGCTCTAACATATAGACATTGCTTCTTCAGCTAATTTCTTATCCTCCTCATATTCCAGCTTTGGTGCTTATCAAGTGTAATAATCACGTGACCATAGTACCATCATGTACGGAGGACCTGGAGCTTGCCACTAGTCACAAGTTCATTCTATCGGAAGCATTACGCTGTGCAGAGTGTCTTAACTCTCACAGTCACCTTACACGGAATATCTAGCGCATTACTCCGTCCTGCTTAACAATTTTTGTGCAGACACTGCGCTTCACTGTTTCTTCGTTCCAGTCCTCCTTGACCGGAAAACATCCATCCACTCTCACGGCGGTCCGACTACCCCAAACACCTCTGCAGAACCACTACTCCGCTCGCTCCCACCATAAACCACACATCACATCCCAGTTTTATAGTCGTCAACCATGTCCTCAAACGTCGGCCTCTCCACTCCCCGCGGAAGCGGTACCTCGGGCTACGTCCAACGCAACTACGCCTTCATGAAGCCGCGCAACGCAGGCTACGGCGCGCCCTACCCGCCCGTTTCGGGCGCCAATGCCAACGATTCCAACCGCGGGTTCAAGCAGCGGCAGCCTGATAAGCAAATTCTGGAGCATGATCGGCGGCGCGCGGTCGAGGTGAAGGTTATGGAGGAGCGGGAGCGGCTTGAGGAGGAGAATGAGAGGATTGAGGAGGGGAAGGGCGAGGGCGAGGGCAAGGTGTTGTCGGAGGAGGAGATTGAGGAGCGGTGTGAGGCGTTGCGGGCGAGGCTGTTGAAGGAGATGGAGGAGGAGGAGAATCGGAAGGGTGATGCGCGGGATGGTGGGGGGGATGAGGGGAGGGAGCGCAGGGCGTGGAGACGTGGGCCTGGGGGAAGGGATAGGGAGCGGGAGTTGCCACCGAGAGAGAGGAGGCAGTTCAAGTCGTATCAGGTGCATGAGCTTGCTGAGGCGAAAATTGAGGAGAGTGAGAGATTGAGGAAGGCGTTGGGGATTCGGGAGGATACGGAGACGGGGGAAATCTCTGGTGGGAGGAAGGATTACGAAGCCAGGAAGAGGGATAGGGAGCGGTATTAGGATGGGTTGTTTTGCTTCATATGGGTTACCGTGGCGTTTAAGGTGTTGAGGTGATGCTACATCTCTTTTTTGGGTCGGGATGGAACAAAGGGCATTATTTAACAGTATGCATGTATTTCATCAAGCATGACTCTTGTCTATCTTTGCTTCCAGCCATCTCAACGCCGTCAAAAACTATATACATCTTAGGTGGTGAACTTTTCGATCACCCAGCCGTCCTTTATATCTTTCCGTTGGATGACCTTCTTGGCCGGTAAGGGCCAAGTGGCGCCGCCGGCTTCGCCAACAAGCGATGGAATGACCCAGCACGCTCGGCGCTGCGGGACCCCGTCCATCGGTTCTATCTTGCCAATTGGCTTGCCGTATTCGATGAGCGGCGTGCCGTGCGCGATAGCAGAGAGCTGCAGTCCGCTCGGCGCCGCGAGAGGAAACATTCTGATCCTCGGGACCTGATCGGACAGCACTGAAGGCGCTGATTGTTGGAGATGAGAGTAGACCAGGTACTGCGGCATTTCCTTCGGTGAAAGGCGGGCCAGGACAGACGATGGATGCACGTAGACGGCTTTCTCCTGAAGTTCTGTCGCCCGTCCTTCTCGAGACCTGAAGAGCGTCAGGTATGGGACATCGATGGCCCTCTTCGGTGTGCGGTCCATCTCTGGCGGGACTGGCGCCAGATCGGCGCGGATTGCAACGTTGTCGATGAACCCAGCGGTCACGATTTGCTTCAGCGCTTTGATTTGTTTATCCGTTGGCTCAGGCAGACGCGGCTCATACGCTCCAATCAGACCAGGGTTGTTTGCGCGCACAATATCGGTCAACTGTTGCCGAAGCTGCGTGGCCTCTTTGAATGCCTTTGCCCGCAGGAACATCTGATCGCAGAATGAGTCCCCATTCGAAGCATAAGCGTAGGCGCAGATCGCTGACAAATACTTCAAAGCGTCCGAAGTATCGTCGTGCTTGCTGAAGAGACGGTGTGCTCTCGCGTAGTCCTTGTGGCGCTGTTCCCGAGCCGTGTCCTCCAAACGATCGGAGTTCTTATAAACTCCGTCACCCTTGTCCTCTTCTTTTGACGGAGCTGGATCGATTTGGTTTTCAGGGATGAACAAGTCTCCCACGGCCAGGGCGGAGACAAGCGCAATCACATAGGGCATGCAGCCGTGCTGGTGGCCGATATGAAGCATTTTGCCGAACCGCGGTGATAGCGGGTACGTCGACAAGCGATGGCCGATCTGAGTGATCTTACCGTCCGCCGAGAGTGCTCCGAGGTTCTTCAGCAACTTCTCGGCCTTGGCCAGCCCCTGCCGACTAGGAGGTGTAGGGAAGGGGAAATTGATCACGTTATGTAGGCCCATGCTTTTCATCTGGAGCACGACGCCTTCAATAGGTGTTCTCAAGATTTCAGGGTCGGTGTATTCCGCGAATTCACCTTCGTAAATCGCTGAAGAATAGAGTCGGTAGCAGTGACCTGGTCCGGTTCGACCTGCTCGACCAGCTCTCTGGTTTGCACTAGCCTTGCTGATCCAACCAATTTGGAACTTTTGCACCCCGGTCTCTAGATCATATTGCTTTTCTTTGGCTCGCCCACAATCAAAGACATATTTGATGCCGGGAATTGTAAGACTGGTCTCAGCGACGTTGGTCGCCAGGACGATAAGACGAGAGCCCTCCGGTGGCGGTTCGAAAACCTTCAGTTGCTCCTTTGTGGGCAGCTGAGAGTAGAGCGGCAAGACATGCACTCGAGTTGAGGAATCCATCGCCTCTTCCCCGAGATTGAACTCTTCATCCTCCTCAGGATTTTCATCCAAGCCGGTAATTTCGAGGTCACTGTCATCATCCTCGTTGCCAGGATGAGACAAGTCTGCACCCCCTAGGTCCAGATCCTCCGCTTCGAGTGGTGCATCGTTCGCGGAGAGTTGTACTTTTGCCTGTGTAGCTTCTCCCCGTTGTGTGGGCTTGAAGGTCTGCTTCAACCGCTTAGCCAGATGTCTGATCTCGTTCTGTCCGGTGAGGAAAACGAGCATGCCTCCGGGAGGTAACTTGCGGTGGCCCCTGCAGACCTTTCTGTAGGCATCTTCAACATAGTCGCGATGTGTCCGTCGCGCGAAGTGTATGGTCACAGGGTACTGACGACCCTCTGCCTGTACTAGTGGCGGCGGGCCTTGACGGAATAGACTTGCATTCTGCGTGAAATCAGAGATTCGCAGAGTCGCAGACATGACTACGAGTTTGAGGGGTTTGATGGAGGGATCCTCTTCGCTCATGGCTTTCCGCAGGTCAATGATACGGCTAACCATTCCAATCAGAATATCCGTGTTAACGCTCCGTTCGTGGGCCTCATCGATTACGATAACAGAATATTTCTTCAAAGCGAAGTCTTCGGCAATCTCGCGAATAAGGATACCGTCCGTCATGAACTTGATGGCCGTTTTGCTGGAGACGTTGCTTTCAAACCGAATCTGGTAAGCGACACGGTCGGAGTACTGTCCCAGCTCATCGGCCACACGTTTGGCCATACTGACAGCAGCAACTCGGCGGGGTTGTGTCACTGCAATCATACCCGGGTTGGGACTGTCGGGGTGTCCATAACCGGCCTCGAACAAGAACTGAGGAAGTTGCGTGGTCTTTCCGCTACCAGTAGCACCCCAGATGACGATGGATGAATTGTTGTAGATGGCTTCCATTATCTTCTGTTCTTCACCGACCACGGGCAGTCCTAAGCGTGAATTTTGAATTTCTTCCGAACGGTCAACTTGTACACTGAATGCCTTGCGGTTTGGATCGCCTGTGGTGACTTGCAGCTCTGGGGGAAGCGGCTCCTCTTCAGCGACGGTGTTCCTGACGGGCCGTTTGGATTCAGGAACAAACGGTTGCTCCTCTGCTGTAATGGGCCCAGAAGGTTTGAAGCCGACAACCTCATTGATTTGTTGTCTTGCCCACTCTTTGAACGCGGACTGACGAGGCTTGGTCCGGGTTTCTGCTGACGACTCGTCTTCCTCCTCCTCCTCCTCGTCGTCTTCTTCACCCTCTTCGTCGTCCTCCTCATTATCACTGCCGCTATCCCCATCATCGCTCTCATCATTTTCGGAAGATGCTTCGTTCTCTCCATCCTGCACAGACTCTTTTTCGGCATCGCTCTCTGAGTGTTCCGGCTCTTCATCGTTGCTATCAGCACCACCATTTCCGTCATCTGAATCGAATCCTTCCCATGGCACCTCCGGCAAGGATACGACTACCGGCTTGACCTTGGGCGCCCTTTTCCGCTTCTTCAGAACTGGGAAACCGTCCGGACCGAGTTCCAGAGGACGTTTGAGACCGCCACCGACGGCTGGTGCGGGAACGGGTGGTGCAGGAGCAGTCTCGGCGTGCTTCCGCTTAGAACCCCCTTTCGAATCGACAAAGGAGTCGTCCGTCTGGTCGCCTGACAATTCCGAATCCGAAATCTGATTCTGCGACGCACTAACAGCCTTTGTGGCGGTCGTGGGCACAATATTTTCGTCCTCTCTCTTCGGTTTCCCCAGTACCTTCGAGCTCTGGAGTGCGGAGGTATCGACTTTGATCTTCTCAAGTTTTTTAAGTAGCTCGACGTTCTCTTCTTTTTTGAGTTTGTTTTCCTGCTCAGACGGTCAATTAAATCTGCGCAGACCTCCGTGGATCCACAAGGAACTCATAATCCACATACAATATATTTATCCAAGCGCTTTTGCTTCTTCGCGGAGATCTTCGTGTGTTGCGCCCTCAGCTCCTCTCGGAGTTTCTGCTTCCTCGCTTCCCTTTCGCTCTTGGAGACGGGCAGTATCTCGGCAGCATTTGTGTCGACCGCAGCATCGTTTGAATTGTTTTGTCGATGTTTCTGCTTTCGTTGACGGGGGACAAATTTGGGCATTGTGAATATCGATCAGATTCCCTTGCCTCAGCCCGGAGACAAAGGGAAAAAAATATAGAAGAACAACAGTAAAGAATGGCTGATTTTGTGATTGCTGCTCCTCTGCTGTTGGGAAACGTGAAGAGAAAATTGATTCTGCCGGACAGTGGGGATATAAATCTCACCGCCCACAAGGCGGCATCACCGACCATCTGCCAACTGATCACCGGCTTCATTTGTTTATATCGGTATTTCTGCAGTAGAGTTGAAATCAAAAGCTCTCTTGATTAGCCGAAGAGGCATTTCTTTCATTTTTAGCATCCCGCAACTAAATACTCAGTACATTCATCATGTCCAATCTTCTGGATATCGATAACCTCCAGATGCCACTTGACCTTCCTTTTCCTGCTGCCACTAAACAAGTCGCTGGAGTGGTAAATGGCGTACAAACAGACGTGACGTGCGTCCAATTTAGCGACAAAATCCTGGTCACCATATCTCAGAACGGCCGACTTGGGCATTGGGTCCGTAGCTCAGCGTTTCCCCCTACAAGTCTCTCAGGCTAACCCATGGCTCAGCTGCATGTACCGCTAGAGAATAAAAACCCAGGGGCACAGGGATTTCATACATTTTCTGAACCAGCTGATGATGATCTCCTTCCAATGAGTCGCTTGATGGCCACGTCGCTGCTTGGGGGTCGAGCTCCTGGACATGAAACAGTTGGTCAGCTCTACGCGCGCCAGATTGCAAGTGCTATTGCAACAAAGACACCTGATGAGAAGCGCTTGCTTGTCGTCGGTCTTGGACTCGAAAGTGCAGAGGCTGACCGTGAGGTCTTTTTCGCCATCATCGATCTTGTTCTTCAATGCATCTGAGCTTCGAGCCAATATTCTCAATGGACCTCAATGAGAACAAGTGGCGGAAGAAGACATGCAACAAAAGCGGGTCACTTACACAGATTTATGGAGACTTCTTCCTCCTGTGCTCGTGTTCTGATCCGCTCGATCGTCAAATTGGGAATTCTGAGCGCAAAGATGAGTTGAGTGAGGCGTTCTGTCTCGTCTTCGGCCAGGCCTCTGAAGATCAACCTTCCGAGAAATTCAATTCCGCCACTGAACAGAGCGCGGACCAGGTCTCCCTCATCAAATCCGGGGATTTTCCATTGATTGTACACAACGACAGAAAGCTCGTGGACTCTGAGGGGCTCGCTCATCCTTAGAGTGGTGATGAACTCTGCAAAAGCCCATCGACGTTGAACTGCCAGCAGGGGCTCGGATGCTCCGATCAAAAAAACGATTTTCTTGAAAGATCTTCTCCACACAATTTCTTTGTTACGACAGGGGTATTCCAACCATTGCTGGAAGACTCGGTTACGGCAGCAAGGCAACGGCGTTGGCTGACGTCTGAGGAAATCAGCTGACTTCGACCCGTAATTTCTGAAAAAGAGCAGTCGATCACCCAGGGAATGATACAGAGCGATAGATGCTTCATGGTAGAACACATGCGAGACCCTGAGTATTGCCAAATCCCCGATTTGGTGGTTATATGGTCCACCTATCTCGACATAACTGTTGCGATGACAGAACAAGAATTCATAAATTCTGTATCGGACCTGGATCGGCAGACGAAGAAGGTGACATCGCAGGTGCCGGTTGCCCACAATCAGACCGCCTCTCACCATCTTGCAACCCTCATTGACAGCTACATCCTCGAAGGTTTCCGGTTCAGCTGGCTTGACAAGATTGGACGTCCCCCTGTACTCATCATATACTTGTCTGAAGAATTGCACCAACAGTCTGAATGATGAATGAGACATACGTGTCAGCAATCAGAAGGGTATCATATCAAGGAGACTTACACCTCTGGTCTCTGAGCCCGTGAGAGAAGAGCCTGTATTTTGCTTTTCTTTTCGTTCTCGGGGAGTTCTTGCTCTTGCTGGATTTGTGCGTCTGGATCCATCTTGCCAGCTCCTTTTGCTTCAGCGTCTTCCTGAGTAAATGGAACCAGAGAGTTATATTCGCGTTTTGGAGATGAACTGTCGAGGGCTGAGACAGTTGTGAATCCTTTGAGAGAAAGGAGTGAGGATGTGAGTTGGTTGTTGCGCCGAGAGCTCTGGTGTCCTGGGACAGTGCAAGCTCCGCTACTTTCAGACTGATGATCAATACAAAAGAATCTGAACTCACTCATTTCATATGAGCATATTCATGCTGAGGTTTATGCCACCCGGACCTTTGTGCTGAAGGAAGATTTAAAATATTGTCTCTCACTGTAAAACCTTGAGAACGTATACTAGATAATCTACCTGGGTTTCAGCCAGCCTGAGTCTTATAGACCGTACATTAGAGACCTCCTTTTCAGGAGGTTTGATTTATGAATACCATAGTTAAAGACACACGCCGGACGTTCTCTTGATCTTCAGCACCAGAGATAGTCACGTGTCTCTGAGGTTCAAGGAGCAGATAACTCTGGCCACCTGTTGTAACTTTCCATGATTTCTACATTTCGTGGTCATCGTTGATTGTTGTCTATTTTGGCAATATAATACATATTCACCAGGTCTCATAGCGACAGTGTCAACTGGACACGAACTGGTGGGACGCGTAGTGTCCAAATCCGTTTATGTGACGTCTTACCATAAACAATCACAGGCTTTCACAGCACGGTCTCACAGAAGTCGGCAACAAGAGCTACATTGCATCTCATTTGAAACTCCTCAAGTTTTTGGCAAGGATATTTTCCATTTGGGAGCGTCTTCGTGTCTACTAAATGGCTGCTTTCGATTTCGTCGCATTTTTGCATCGTTAAAATATCCCGTTCATTGCAGTCTGTGATTCGGGGTCAACTCGAGATGGAGCCCGAAGATTTGACTGACCCAGACCTTAAAGCAGCCATCGCAGCCTCATTGAGGGACCTTCACGATAATGGTGCTGATCCAGTTGATGAACCTCAGCAAAATGTCGTCGATCTTACTGCAGAATCAGATGATGATGAAGTCATTCCTGTTTTTCCAAAGTCCAAATCAGTTATTGGGTCTGATACAGATGCTGATGAGGATGGAGGTGATGTTGAAGACGAAGACAATGAAGATGAAGATCTGAAGAGAGCCATTGCGCTGTCCCTGCAAGACTCTGAGGATACTGAAAAGAACTCACCTGATCCATCACACGGTAACAAAGAACATGGCCCACCCCCAGAGACAGAAAGTTCTGCAGCAGACCGCGCGCCTTCGCAACCATCTGGGCTTCTAGGCCTAAATCGAAAGCAGATGGAGGAAGAACGCCTCGCCCGCATTGCGAAAAGAAAAGCGGATGATGTTGAGGCCATTGACCATCGTCAGGCCAAATATTCAAAGAATGAATCGAATCAGCTGGCGCGTCAAAGCAGCAGTGGTTTGGTATCGACAGAATACGCATCAAAGATTGGCGTCCCTCAAGCAAGATATGAGTCCGCGAAGTCCAAGCCAGACTTACCCAATCCTTCTCGGACACCAGCTGTACAGTTCCCAAAGGGAGTTGTCAAAAAGACTTACGCGCATTACCGCCCACGGACAGGCGACGATATCACAATCGAGGAGGTCTTCCAGAGCAGTGATCTAGAGCTGGCCGTTTTGAGCTCATTTCTGTGGGACATGGAATGGCTCTTTTCAAAGATCGATACGAAACGCACTCGTTTTCTCCTGGTAATGCAGGCTAAAGATGAGTTGACGGTGATTGACACCTTATCTGGTTCTACTTGGAATGTCAATAGCTGATAAAGTCGGATACCAGAAACGTCAATATGAGGCAGAAACCGCATCGATGAGCAACCTGAGACTGTGCTTTCCACCCATGGAAGGGCAGGTCAACTGCATGCACTCGAAACTGATGCTACTCTTTCACCCAAGATACCTACGAATTGTAGGTCCGACTGCGAATCTGACACCATATGATTGGGGCGAGATGGGAGGTGTAATGGAAAACGTAGGGATGAGCAGCACCATCTCCAGAACCATTGCTAACTCTAGCTTAGAGTGCTTTTCTCATCGATCTTCCCCGAAAGGCAACCACAACTGCCGTGGGCTCCAAGACCGCCTTTGAGGAAGACCTGGTTTACTTCCTGAGAGCAAGTACTTTGCACGATAATATTATTTCCAGGTTCGACGAGTACGACTTCAGCCAGACGTCTCATATTATGCTCGTTCACACCATGTAGGAGACCTTCGCGCTATTCTAGAACGGTACTGATGCTGTACAGAGGAGGGTCACACACTGGAAATGCGTGGAGAAGAACGGGATATTGCGGCTTGGGCCGTGCAGTCAATGCATTAGGATTGCGGACGTCCAAGCCCATCAATATCGATTTTGTCGTATGTGCTGTTCCTGGGCGAGCAAGATCCAGACGCTCTCGACTAACCTCGCACAGACATCCTCCATAGGATCCCTCACCGACGAATTCCTAAGATCGATATACCTCGCTTCCCAAGGTAAGCACCCGCTCCGCTCCATCCAGACAGAAGACTTAGAATGATCCCAGGAGACGACGGTATAACCGACTTCACCCTCCGAACCTCCAAGACCTTCCCGGCCCGCAACCCCAACGACACAGACCAGCTCATTCACAAAAACACCGCTGAAGAATGGAAAGATCGCTTCCGGGTCTACTTCCCCTCACAGACGACCATCGAGCAATCGCAAGGCGGCCCAGACTGCGCCGGCACAATCTGTTTCCAGTCGAGATGGTACGAGAGTCCGAAATTCCCGCGCCATGTGCTGCGCGACTGTAAGAGTCGTCGGCCGGGACTTTTGATGCATAACAAGGTAGCTCTCCCTCTCACTCTCTCTCGAGGTAATATCCCGACTGACATAACGGCTTGCCCTCCAGATACTATTCATGAGACCGGATGAACCCATACGATTACCAAATAACGCACTGTGTCAAGGATGGGCATACGTGGGGAGTGCAAATCTCTCAGAAAGCGCGTGGTGAGTGCATGCCTGATCCAATCAGACGCAAAAGAGAAAACAGAAAGCATTCTAATGCCAGGAAGGGGCCGTCTCGTCCAAGACAAAACAACCAAGCAGCCCAAGCTCAACTGCCGGAACTGGGAATGCGGCGTCCTTGTCCCTGTACTCGACAGAGCGGATTCATCGGACAAAGTCTCGAACAACATCAGTGGCAAAGGAGCAAACGAATCGGCGGATATGCTGGATGTTTTCAAAGGTACTGTCCCCGTGCCGATGACGGTTCCTGGGCAACGATACGGGCCAGGTCTTAAGCCTTGGTTTTTTTGAGTAGTCTCTGTAATTGGTAGGGGTAGTTCTGGGATTCAAGAGAATTGAATATTATTTATAAAGAACGCTGTCTAATGCATTATTATTGCTCTATGTATGCAGAATGGATATCGCTAAATAATATCGTGATCCGACAGAAATGCTTTTATAACCCCTCACTGAGATCAGTTGATCTCATTCCTTGCTCCTGGTCCTATCAACCAATACCATAATCCTCATCCTCATGCCTTCTCCGACTTCCTCTTAAAAACCCCCTTGACCTTATCAATCACCAAACCCATCCCCCCAAACAAATACCCCATACCGAACGACCAGCCCCTCACGCGCACCGTATAGATAAAGAAATAAACCAACAGCCAATTCATAATGACAAAGGCCAAGAAGATACCGAAGCAGCGCCACTTGTCGCCGTGGTGCACGTTCAGCGTGGCCATGTACTGCACGCCGTCGCTGTAGGGACAGTACTGGCAGTCTGCGCTCGCGTCCGGGTTCAGCAGGTACCCGTTCTTCGCGACATTTGTGATGAAGTTGCCTGCGTAGCGGGCGCAGGTCTGGCCGGGGGGCGGGTTGAAGTGGGTTGTTTCTGAGGGCGCGCATTCGATCTGCACGGTAGGGAAGATGGAGGAGATGACGCCGCGGAGCCACCAGGTGACGGGGTTGACGTAGTACATCCAGTATTTCCAGAAGACGGGGTAGTCGCGGTAGGGACGGACGATGCCGTTGAAAAGGTTGCACATGACGAAGAAGAAGGGGAGGACCTGTCATATGGGAGTTAGAGCGGGTGAGGATGGGAAGTGGTATGGATGGTGGCACTTACATTGGAGATGACGGTAAAGGAGGGCGCAAAGGCGCAAATCCATTGGCCCCAGCTAGACATGAAGAGGAAGAAGAGCATCGACATGAGGAAGACGTAGCCCGCGGTGCTGGAGTCCGTGGGGAAGCCGACGGGGTAGTACCATAGCAGCCAGTAGATGACGCTCGAGACGATGGCCATGGGAATCTCGCAGACGATGTTGGCGGTGCAGAAGGCGAACCAGCCGTAGATACGGCTGGGGTACTCGCGGGCCTCCCAGAGGGCGCGGTTTATGTAGAACTTGGGCACGACGCTGTTGAGGACGATGGGGGGGATCAAAATGATCAGGAAGATGGAGAACATGCGGTCCTGCATGCTGGCGATCGAGTTTCCGAGCATCCAGAAGGTGAATCCGTTGAAGATACCGATGATGACGCTGACGAACAACTTTCCATAGTAGTACGACGGGTTGCGCCAGTACTGTTTGAAGAGACGTTCCGTGAGAAGTAGAGTCTGCGTCATCGTGGGCGCGGCGAACTCGTATGGGGATCCTGTTTCGGTTACGGGGATCTTGCTACGCTCTTCGCGGATCTGCTGAATCTCGTCGAGGACACGACGGTTCTGCTCCGAGTTCCTCCACTCTTCATTCCAGTCGATCTTCTTGCCGTCCTTTGTCGTTGTCGCCTTGGCAGCCGTCTCGAGAATGAATTCAGCCACGTTCTTCGACGGAGGGCAGACGACGCCACGATCTGCGAAATACTTGGTCACATCGCGACCCTCGGGGCCAACTGGTCCGAAATAGAAGGTGTTACCACCGGGGTTCAGCGCGAGAATCATATCGAACTGCTGAATCAACAGGGACGAAGGCTGGTGGATGGTACACAAGATGGCCTGTCCGGCCTGGGAGAGCTTCTTCAGGAACCTGACAATCGAAAATGCCGCTTGACTGTCCAGTCCACTGGTAGGCTCGTCAAGAAAGAGGCTGTCCACGCAACGCAGTCAGTAATTTGCCTGAGACCACAGTAATTTGGCTGAGGCCACAACTTACAGAAGGCTGGGCTTGGCCGCAAGCTCAACACCGATCGTCACCCGCTTCTTCTGCTCCACGTTGAGAGAACCGATGATGGCGTCTTGGATATCGTTCAACTCCAACAGATCGATAATCTGGTCGACGTAGTCGAGCTTCTCCTGTTTGGGAACGTTCCTGTCCTGACGGAGGAGAGCCGAGAACTCCAGAGCCTCGCGGATGGTCGACGTGTTGTCGTGAAGATCCATTTGTCCACAGAAACCAGTGCCCCGTTGGAAATCGGGGCCCAAAGGATGACCGTCGACAAGCATGTCGCCGGTCACCACACCCATCTTCTGACGCTGGGCCAGGGTGTTGAGGAGTGTCGTCTTACCGGCACCCGAAGCACCCATCAGAGCGATCATGACTCCAGGCTTTGCGTATCCGTTGACACCATTCAGAAGTTTTCTGGTTCCGTTGCCGTAAGGTACCGTGTATTCGACGTTTGACCAGGTGAAGATTCTGTCGCTGGAAGAGATGCGTTGGAAGGTTTCGCCATTGCTCGCAGAGGCCGCCTCTCCGCGCGACAGCGCAGCCTTGTCACCAACGTTTTGAACCTTTTCCTCATCGTTGCCCTGGATGGTCTGGGCGGCCACCTTCTTGGCACGTTTCGACCGTTTAAAGACAAGAGCACCGCCCCCACCGCCGACGAAGGAAAGGAACTCAGCAGCGAGCACCGTGACTATGAGATACAGCACAGTGAAAGCGACGACGACACCAAAGTTGCGCCACATATGGCTTCGAGTGAACTGGAAGGACTCCTCCAGGTACCGGCTACCCGAGACGCCTCTGCGACCCAGCTCAGACCCCGGGAGAGCACAGCCCTGATATCTGGGATCGACACCAGGACCCTGGGGCACCAGCTGAGACGGCGCACATTCCATGATGCGATCGGAAAACTCATTCGTCAAGACGGCCTCATAACTGTACGAGAGAGGATTCACGTAAAAGAGCCACCCAAACCAGATCGAGCCGTCGATCAAGCCCTGCTTCGGAATGACGTAACCAACGAACAGGATAAGTACGTTCAGAGCAATACCACTGAAGCGAACAGCGTCATCGATAGTGGGGGAGAGCGCAGCGAACATGCGGTACAACGAGGTGATGCAGAATGTAGTGGTGTACACGAACAGGAAGTAGATGAAGAATTTGGAAGCGGTCACATCGAGCCCAGACATGAAATATACGATGATCGTGAACGGGACGACCATGCAGAAGATAGCAGGGAAATCCATCACCACTCGAGCAATCGACACGGCAGATGGTCGGTAGAACGCGTACTCCTTATGACGGGCAACAATGCCACGTCCGGTAACAGCGGGCATCAACTCCGTCAATTGCAACCAACCGAGGAACAGAATCGAGAAGAAGAGCGCCCCTCCACGGGAGAATGCACCACTGGTGTCGAGGGATTCACCGTAGAACAGGGAAGAGACGATCAGGGCATTGGAAATGATGATAAAGTACTTGGTATAGAGGGATGTCTTGTCACCCCATAGGAGCCAGAACTCACGCTGCACGCAAGCCAGGACCTGACGAACAAAGGAAACAGTGTAGCTGGACGTTTTTGACACCGTCTTACTTTTGGCTGAAGAGGATTAGTCTTTGGTAGGGATGTACTAGCGGGTATCGCAAACTTACATTGGGCAACGGTCTTCTGGAAGCGGCGGGTATCCTCCTGATCCGTATCCAGAAGCTTCTTCTCGTAGCTAGCCACCTCGTCGCAGATACTCTTGTAAGTCTCACTATTTCTGAAGACCGCCTCAAGCTCCTCGGGTGTCTTGGGGGTAGAAGCCTCTCGGCCGGGCTGGAATTGACGAGCGTTAGGGTCGCAGATTGAAGTAAGGAAATCAGCAGTTGTCCTAGCAGCGGGTTAGCGAACGGCAACTTTTAAGTGTTTGCGAGAGAGGGAGACATACGATTGCTCTGGGCAGTAGAAACCGAGGTTTACAAAGTACTCGCGCGCCTTGTTCGCAGGGCCCTGGTAGAGCATGCGTCCAGAATCAATGACCAGAACCTTGTCCATGAGTTCGTAGATACTCTCTCCGGCTTGGTAGAGGGTGACAAACGTAGTACGTTTGCTGACATCGGTCATGATCCGGAGAGACTTGGCATAATCCAAAGCCGTACTGGCGTCCAAACCTCTGGTGGAGTTATCCCAGCAAACAACGGACGACTTGGTCGCCAGGGTTTCGGCGATACTGACACGCTTTCTCTCGCCTCCAGACACACCACGGACATACTCATTACCAACAAGCGTATTCTTAGTGTGCATAATGCCGAACATTTTCAGGAGAGCGTCAATGATGATGGGAATGCTGGTCTTGTCGTGCTTTTTGGTCTTGTTGATCAAAGAAAACTTCAAGGTCTGCCACACGGTCAAGGTCGGAAAGTGCTGGTCGTCTTCCGGGTTGTAGTTGACCTCGCCACGGAAGTGCTTCAGTTGCTCTTCGGCAGAGAGGCCGCCATACCGGACCTCACCCTCCACACCGGCAAAGGCACCCCGGTCGTTGGCGATGGTTTTCAGGAAGGTGGAGCAACCAGCACCAGGCCTGCCCAGAACCAGCATCATCTCGCCTTCTCGGACTAGACCGGTGAAATCATGGAGCAGATCTCGCACCGGAGGCTGTTTCCCAAAGCGCAATTGTGGGATGAAGCCACAGAGGATTCTGTACAGATCCGGCCCGAAGGTGCCAACAACAGCATCCGGCAACGTCCGCACAAAGGACGCTCCGGTCTCGACACCTTTCACCGTGAGATTTTTGAAGATGACACCGACCTTCTTCGCCGGCTCTCCTGCAGTCGTTCTCCGTTCCAGATGACCACCCATCAGGAACTCGCTGAGATCGAATCCACCCCGGTAGTCGTCCCCATCGATTGTCGAATCCTCCTCGTCGAGAGCCTTCTCTTCATCGTGAACTTGACTGGCTCGCCCGGAGACCCGGGATCGCAATCGATGGGCATCCTTTCCCACCGACCGCGTTCGTCTCAGACTGACTTGGGTCAGTTCCCTCCTCATATCCTCAAAATCCTCCATGGCGCCACGGCGGGAAACGGGCTCCCCTTGATCCCGCTCTCCCCACCGGCCATCGAGACTCAATTCAGAGGAGGTTGCTGTCGCGGATGACGAGTGTACAGTTT